ATATTCCGTATGATCGGGTTAACCGTCTCTATTCCCGTAGTATACTAAGATAAAAAATTCCATTTCTTTTCTTAATTTCTGATTCAGCGTGGCAGTTGTTTTGAAGTTAAATCTTCCAAACGTGGAAAACTTTATCAAATCAAACAATATAACTATTAATAAAAATTTATCCAATCTTTACAAGGCAATGTAAAGATAAATAAAGAAAAAATTGAAAATTCAGTGATTTGCAGTGTCCGTAACGTTAAAAAATTGGTAATGCTCAAAGTTTTCAAAGGTTTATGGAAACACGATACCATCATAGTCATCTGAAAACTTCCATGGAACTGAAAACTTTGCACAAAATTTACTTGGAATGCAGGAAAAAAACATTAGAGGATTCAAATGAAGATATTTCCGGAATGAAATGTACATATTCAGGAAGTATTCACTTAACTTCTAACTTGGTTGTAATGAGCATATGTAAGACACGAAATGCATTCGGATGCGAAAAATAAATAAATAAATAAACATTTAACTATCTGGCAGTGAATCAAATTTCGTTGGAAATGTAATGGCATGAAAAGCAGAAAAATATATCTGAGTAGAATACCTTGATGATAATATCTGAATATGTTTGTTTTTTTAAGGCGAAAAATGTCCAAACCCAGTTTGACACCATGCCTAATAGGATAAGGGCCGTTTTAGCTGCCAGGGATAGCAGTTTCTACTAATTTCGCACTCCTGTAAATCTCCAAAATGCTTACAAATTTAATCATTTTGTCTTCATGCCATACTGTTTACGTGCAATAAGTATATTTTTGTATTTGCTTTCCTTCATGGTGTTGCAATTTTAATGGTCAGCAGTGTAGAATGCACTGGCTCATTATTTTACCGATCGTATTTAAAAATACAGCTATTGAAAATGCTAAACCCGGAAAAAAAATTGTAAACTGAGCTAGCTGAAAATAACAGCAAGACACGATTGTCAGAAGTTCGTTTAATTAAAGATTCAAAGCTAATTTGCATTCTAGTGAGGAATACGAAAAGAAGCTATAGTAAAGTCTTGAATCAAAATAACTGGCTAATTAGCATGAGATACTTTACAAATCTAATAACGTGGCTCGTATAAGCAGTTCCACTACTGGACTAGTGGTTAAAGACTGTTTGTTGATAGTTTGTCCCGGAAATTAACTCAGGCGAACGTGCTGGCTGTATGGTTTTCTCCAATGTGCAACATAAATATAAGCCATCTTTCCTTAGGAAAAGTCCACCATGAAGAAATTCTTCCCCTTAGGCAGATAACCTACATGTGCTGTGCTACATTTAAATAATCATCCAACCGAATTTATGTACGATTTTCAAAAAGAAAATCAGACACTCAAGCCTAGTATAGTAGTTACACAGGAATATGATACATACAGTGTCAGCGACTGAATTACCAATGCCATTCACTTAATTTCTATACTTGGGCAGAGTTGACGGAAGGAGGAGAAGTTTAGGTGTTACACTATTGATTGACATAAAAATTAGCAATTCCACAGAGAAGAACCTTTTACATTTTTGAAATTATTCTACAAGAATTTTAACAAATTCTATGTAACATAACAAAAAATAACAATAATGTGAAAAATGAATGTAACAATTATCATTATTTATTATATTACCAATGATTAGAATTCAGAACTTGAGAAATCACAATGACTTTTAAAAATGTGTTTATTCTAAATCTTATATTTACATAAAAATATACTTTGCTTTGAAAAAATATCTTTGAGGATAATCAGTCCTTTTCAAACACAAAGAACAATTTGTTTGAGAAATTTACTATGCACTAAGAGCAACGAAATATCTTGAAATATAAAACATATTTAAAATCGTTTTTATTTGTTGCCTTTGCTACACACAGAAAAAGAAGATAAAAATCTTACATTCTAATAAATTTTGCTGCTGTCAAACATTTCTGTCCTAGAAGACAGCATGTTTTATTTAAATTTGAGATGTAAGCAAAGGTTCATGTTTTGGCATTTTTAAGCTTTAATGGCAGAATTTAAAGATTTCCCAGCCAGTATACTTGTAATTGGGAAAACATTTTACACATTATAAAAAACGAAATACAAAAAGTTTGACTCCCATATGACAAGAATTGAATGAAATATTTAATTTGAAAATTTGTAACTTTTAATCCAATTTTCAGTTAGCTTTGAGGGGTCAGTTAATAAATGAATTAGAATAATTTGAAGTTTTTAAAATTAAATGCCTTTCAATGATAGTCTTCTATGATTTAGTAATGTGTCTTTATTAGTAATATATTTAATTTTATTACTACAGAGAGAATTTTCACACAACTAATTTATTAGTTCCTATGTTTAAAAATATGCTATTAATATTCTCAAGAAGTTTCATTTACTTTAGTGGACATATTGCTAATTTTTATGTCAATCAATAGTGTAACACCTAAACTTCTACTCCTTCCGTCAACTCTGCCAAAGTATAGAAATTAAGTGAATGGCATTGTTAATTCAGTCACTGACGCTGTATGTATCATATTCCTGTGTAATTTAATAACCTTACGAAAAATTCCTCAGACTAGAAATATTTTTTAATTTACAAAATTTCATGAGATGGTTGACAATACTGAAGCCTGCCATTGTTTTCTAGAACAAGAATTCACCAAGATTGTGTAAATAAAATTTGTTACTTTTCATCATAACCTGACACAGCAATAGTATATTATCATTAGAAACCTTTTTGTAAACTAATATTTTTAGTTTACACATAAATACTATACATTTTCAATATGAAATACAGCCATTAATATAAATTCTAAATTTAGCATGAAATTTTTGAGTTTTATATTTTATAATGAGTTTTACTATTATAACTACAGGGACCACGGTAATGTATTAAAAGGTACATTTCATAATTTTTACAAAACTGATGTTTTAAATTTAAAAATGACATATATATTTTCCTTATGTAAAGCCCTTTTGTAATTGGAAGACTATGTCCATGATCACAGGTTGTGAAAATAAAGGCCACATAGGAACTTAAATACCATGCATACAAAGAAATTAACGAGTTCATAGCAAAGATAAAAAAGGGCAAAATGATAAGGAAATTTTTTGAGAAAGTAAAGAAAGTTGATAAAAAAAATGCAGGAAAGTATACATACTAATGTATCTACTGCAAAAACTGCCTTCAAAGTAACTTTTAATTTAAAACTAGGGAAAAAAGCATCTTCATTCCAAATAAAACTATTCAAAAAGTTACATACAATCATAATTTTGACTTTGGTAACATGAAAATTATCCATTAAGCTCTCACTTGATGCATTGGATTTCCTTGAACCTTAAATTTATTTTGTTACTCAAATTAATTTTGGCCCATTCCTTATTAACTCTTTACGAATTCTTATATTAATTTTTTACATCTCTTCTGACAGATGGTGCTATTCACTTTGCTCCATCTATTGCTTCTAAAATAAATACTCTGACGAATCAGGTTCTTTCCTGATGAAAACTGTCGGTTAACTATGCTATTTTGGTATATGACCTCTTTATGCACACCAAAAGTAAAGGGGGGGGAACAATGATATACAAATTTTTACACTGTGCCTCAAATACATGTGGCCAAAATCTTGTGTCTGGTCAACCTTAAAATTGATACTTTTATTCGAAATCGATGCCAGGAGAAAGTTGCTATTTTACCTAACAGTGCCACATTTTTCTTAAACTAAAGCTGGATTTATTAAAGTAAAAATTATTTTTTTAGTCTCTAGTTTTTCTTTATCACATTTCCAACTTTTGAAGCTAGAAAATTTTCTGACTATATGTACAGTACAAAGTCCGTAATCCGGACCTCAAAGCAACTAACTTTTTTTTTTTTTTTTTTTGTATGCTTTATGCATGTGTGTTAAATAATGTATTACAAGCGGTATAAGCTAGGCTAAAATTATCTTTACTGATTCTAAGGCATTTCAGTTAATGTTGCATATTGCGCTGTTCCTTAATCTTCTAACTGGATCCGGCTTATTATTTTTTTGCAGACTGTTAGAACAATTTTACAAAAATTAAGCTTGGACTTTTGATTATGTCAAAAAGAGTTTCTAATTCTGGAGCTGCCAAAGGATCTACAAAGCAAAAGCATGCTTTGATGTCCATTAAACAAAAATTTGATTGAAAAATAAGTCGATATTCTCGACACAGCTATTACAGGACTTGAACAGTGGAACTTTGTAACTGAACAAGAAATTATATCTATTTATAGAATTAAAGAGAAAGTATTAGCACAAAAAACGAACCAACTTGCATTGAAAGAAATGTTTAATAAAGTAAACAAATATTAAGCTTTTTTTTTTGTAAATTTTGATACCCTTTAGATCATAATTGCTCTTTATTTCATAAATTACGGTTTCATATTTTTAACTGTATAATTTCTGCATGCCATCTTACCAGATTTAAACTGATGATCTATAATCCGGAAAAACCCCCTAATCTTGAATTGCCAAAGTCCCGACGAGTCTGGACTAATAGGTAAGTTTTTTAAACACAGTAATCATATAAATTCAAAATTAATTAAAAAAGACAACAGAACATAAAGTCAGAATTTAACCAGAATGAAACTTTTGCAGAAATTTACCATTCACATTTCTTAAGAGAATCAAGCATTGAAATATGAGAAGAAAATGTTACGTTTCCCATGAACATATGGTGCGAAATTAGTCCGTTTTTGTTAAAAATTTTATCTTTTTATATATGTGTGGGAAAACAAAAAAAAAATGCCTTTAAATTCTGGAAATTGTAATTTTACTTATTTACATACAAAAATGATCACAGAGTATAGGCATATGTTGAATAATTCATTTCTTTATTTAAAAACAACAAAGCTAAATTATTAAATAATAAAGCTAAATTAATTTTCCCATTTTTTTTTCATTAAATGAGTTGGAAAAATAAGTAATTTCTTTAAATTCTTTTTAAAATTCAGTTGTGCATTCCCACAAAAGGAAGAAAACAAGAAAATTTTCAGAATTTATTTATTGCAAAAATCATTTTTCAAAAAGAAAAAACATATATCAACTACAAAAACACATAGATAAAACAAAATCTATAAGATTAATGTACATTGTTCCCAGCTGCCATGCCATTTAAAATGCGACACCATTCTATCACAAAGTTTGTTATTTGGCAGATAGGTTGAACACACAATTTCATGAATGAGAAAGAACTGTGGCAAGTGCAGCAATCCCTGCTGCATTTAGTCTGAGTGAGGCATTAATCACAGTTTTTCATTGATATATACACAGTTTTCATGAGCTCGTCTGTTCAGATGAAGGCTTTGGATGCATGCAAGACCTCGCAACTGATTCGAAAAGCCTGAAAAAACAAATGAATTTGGTGAAAAATAACACAAATCTTTCAGATGTAAATGAGTTTTTTTTTTTTTTTTTCAATACATGACAAAAAAAAAAAAAAAAAAAAAAAAAAAAAAAAAAAAAAAAAAAAAGGTTTTAAATTCAAAATTCAACAGCATTTGATATGAAAATTGCTTGAGATTCCTGTAATTTTCAAACATTTGCTAATTACATTAAAATAGGCACTTAAAGGCTGCAGTGACCCCTGCCTCATTTACAACTGTAGTGTGTGTCATCATCACCACAAACAGGGAATTAGGGAATTTTAGCAAATTAGAGGATTCATTTTTTTCCATAGCAGTTGCCATAGTTATGAGTAATGGTTTGGGAGAAAGAAATGGATTTAAAATGCTATTATAAACTAACAGGTTAGGGAATTACCCAGAGCCACCCAGCTGATATAGTGGTTAGTGACACTGGCTGTCATACTAATCAGCTGATGCTCGAATTCCAGAATAGGCATGGATGGTTATACGCATACAGTATCTGTGTTGCAACACAGCACCAAAAACACATGCAAGCCAATATTTTTCTCAATGATAAGGGAAGAGAAGCTGGAGATCCTTGAACCAAAGTGAGGTGGAACTGCAAAATGGGTGGACCAAAGCAGAGGGTGGAACTGCGAACATATGTATGAGCAATGGTAAAATTCTAGTGTATCACCCACATTAACCTGTATTTGATCTATACAATAAATAAAGTTCCAAGACATATTTTGAATTGGGTATTTGCTCATACTAGTTTCCTGTTGTTGGAATAACAGTGGACAGTGGACAAGGGGAAAAGAAAGATTCAGAGAAACTAAATTCAATTAAAATAAAAATTTGTATTCTTTAACTTTTTATTGAAGCAGCTTATTTTTGTCTCTTCTATTATTAATCTCACTGAAATTACAGTTTTAGTAAACCTCTCCATTTTACTTTTTTCCTAAAACTGTTTGTCTGTCGATTAATTGATGGATGGATGCTGGAATTTTGTGCATACAGAAATGCAAATATAAAGAATCTCCCCCCCTTTTTTTTTAAAGCAACAATAATACCATCAAAGAATTCTGAAAATATTTTAACATAAAATTTATGTGTGTGGTGCTGCAAGATCATGAGAGAACGTGTCTGTGATTATTTTAAAAAATACTTGGCATAATTTACATGTCATAGATACAGAGGACAAAAGATGCGATGTTGTTATTGCCATGCTCAAACCTAACGAGATTAACCAAAATTCATTCTCTTACCACTTCTAATGTTAAAAATACGAATGCTCAGCCCGCAGGCAAGGTATCTATAAATGTACCAACATTTCCTTGTTGAATAAAACTTAAAATCTGAATGTCCCTTTAAATTAATCGTTTGAAGTTTACCCTCTGTAAATCTTGTTGACATCGTGCTTGGATGAAAAGTACATAAAATATTGCAAATAAAATTATTCAAAAACAAGATGAAATTGCCTTATTCTACATCCATATTTACAAGAGCCTTAATGTGGACACTATCTACAATGAAATCAATCTACTCGGCACCCATGTCAAAACTGAACTTTTCTGAAGACGAAAAGAATCCTTGCAATGCTGGCGTTGTGAGAATGCAGCCTGCCCTAGAAGTGTGTTTGCTATGTGGCTCCTTATCAAGCAAAGGACTGTCCCAAAGCATATGTGTACTGTACAAACTACGGAGGACCATACGGCGTCAACTGGAAATCTTATCCAAGATTCCCAGGATAGAAGAAAAACTAACAAAACCAAATCAGCACAAAATCCAGACCGACCATTAACCACTTCAAAAATTCTAACAGTAAAAATTTAACGCCTAAACTGACTGTTCCTATTCCTAACACAGCAATGCTTGCCCTGATGTTTCTTACTCTAGTACTTTTAACTGGGGAACATCAAGCTGGTACCCCACTATTCAAAATTTTTTGGTCCTCTCTTGAGCGAATTTGAATCTAAATTTTACCGATATCCTTTTGGCTATTATTCAAATTTCTTTTCAACCAGGTAATAACCAGCAAAAACTGCTCTTAGCCTTTAAAGCTGCACTGCCTCACCTCAGAATGGCTTCATCTGGTGCTGATAACACATACTACATTTTTAGAGCTATGCAGCTCTCCAATTTTCTTATCTACCGCAAAATTACCTCAAAGTTTCATGAATTTAAACATTATGTGTCTGAGAAAGGCTTTGATATTATTCTTATCCAAGAGCCTAAACTCCAGGCAGGGAGAGTTCCCAAGTTTGCTAATTACAATTTTCTTCATAATGGCAGACAAGCTGCTGGTCCCCTTGAAATTTGTTATGGTGGCAGATTTGTCTATATTAAAGATCCTACCCCTCACAGAAGAACTGATACTCTGAGTTTGAGCACACTCAAGAGGATCATTATCGAAATTTTTATTCCAAATGCACCCTCATTAATTAGGATCTCTGCATTTCTTCCTCCTTAAAAGGGAAAATGTGTTAAATTCCAGGAAAATTTTGATAAGCTGCTCAAAATTTCCAACAATATCATTATTGCTGGTGATTTAAATTCTCATCATCAATACTGGTGTTGTAAAAATTCTGAACTTACTGGTCGTGGTTACTAATTTTTGCGCAAGCACATGTTTGAGAACATCGGCCCTTCCACCATTCGAAATCGAAATATCTCAATGACAAATGGTACACATCACAAATGTATCACATTTCCTTGAAGAAATAACAGAAGTCATCAGTGTATGATTTTTGAAAAGTAGATGAGTATTTTACCTTTTTCATAGACATACTAAAACAAAATATCATAATTTCTTAAACTATTTCTTGAAAGTACCTGTGCTCAAATAACTTAGAAGAGTAGATGAACAAAATGTTTTCGGTCAGGTGCTCTCACTGAAAAAGCAGAAGCAAACCATAATTTCTCCCTGATGAAATCACTACTTTGGTTTTCTATGCAGTCTAGAGAAAAAACAGGTGCTTTCAGACACTCAAACTCACTTTTTTCGTGGTGCAAATAACGAACTATTAAGCCAAGCTACATACACATTGTGAAAAATTTTAAGGGAAAATCAGGAGAAAGATGATGTATATTGGGCTGGTGGGAGAACGGTCGGAAATTGGGAGTCTCCTGCCTAAATCAAGAGTTGGCAATTCTGTCCATGTGAACTCCAAACCTTTAAGTCTTCCAAAGTAAAACCTTATGTCTTAATATACACTACTTTATTCGTAGTGATGCAATTCATTTAGATTTAAATGTCAAACTTGTTGATGTCTTAAGACTTTGGTAAAATTTATTTTCTGAAATTGAACAGATTGATAAACATGCACTTCAGAACCTTCCTGCATATGACTCGGCCATTCTCAATTCTATCAAACAACTAAACTCTGTGACTGGACGAGAGTACAGCGTCTTCCTTTCATATAAAAAGAGACGCTCTGCCCAACAAGCCTCAGTTCCAGCTATAATGCCGATGATGACGGATACTGAAGCAAAAGCTGTTGCCCCTCTTCACTTAAAGAGATGCTTATCCTTAATCTTCTTTCTTCAAATTGCTATCACTTCAGCTGCCTACATTCCAGAACTTCATGCATTATTATAATCTGTTTCATTTTATTATTACATCTATTACCAGAGATTAAACTCTGTCTATGATTTTTTATCGCATTATCATTAATATTGGTATTATTTTGATTTAACATCGATATGACCAAACCGTCTATTAATCTTAATTGCTTTCCTATGCACTTTTAATTTGTTTTATTTTTTCGGAGTACCCTAGGTACTCCAAAATAATTAATCTTTTGATCCTTGAATATGATAAGAAATACCAAATGAAAATAATTACATTTTGAAGAAAATGCTTCAATCAATAATCAGTGAATTGAATAGTGAATACCTGTAGTGTAGTTTTAAGCCCAGAAAATATAGGAATTTTGGCTTTAAAATTTCTATTTTAATTTCATGCAATGGTGATTTAAGAAAGTGAAAATTGTTGCCTATTCCTACTGCACAAGATTTAGTTACATTTGCAGTACAAGAACATAAAGCAAAATTTCCATTTAGCTGACAATAGTCAAACTGGCAACTTTGATAAATTGTATATGGTGAGACCATATCTAAACTTACCCAAAAGAAAATTCCAACAGTTTTATTAAAGAAAATTACAACAGTTTATGTTAGTATATTTTCCCATGATCTGGGTATTGACGAGCAAATGATTCCTTATAGAGGCAAGCATTCAGGAAAGATATTTTTAAAAAGGAAACCTATAAGATTTGGTTACAAAGCATGGATTCTGGCATCATCTGATGGATATGTGCTTCATTTTGATATTTATTCAGGTAAATAAACAGCTCCAAAATTATCAGAATATGAAGAATTTGGTCTTCATCAATGTTGTTGAAACTTCCTCCAATCATGCTATCTACTTTGATAACTTTTCTATATTGTTTCATCTTCTCTGTCATCTCAAAAATAAAAGTCTTAGTGCTACAGGAACAATTCAAGTAAACTGCATACAAATGTGCCCACTGGAAACGGCGAAATGTGTTCGTAAGAAAGACAGAGGTTATTATGATTTCCAGTATAAAGAGAAAAACTAGTTTTTGTCTGATGGAATGACAATTCGGTTGTAACTGTTGGTTCAACATTTGGAAAAATTCAGCCTATAAAAAGTGTTTCCCATTATTCAAGAATGCAAAAGAAAAAAGGTTTTTGTATCTCAACCTCATCTTACTGAACAATACAATGCCAAAATGTGAGGAGTCAATTTATGCGACAATTTAGAAGCCAATTACATGATAAGAGTTCTTGGCAAAAAATGGTGATGGCCAATTTTACTAATTACATTGACATATCCTTGACAAGCGCATGAAAAATATTCTGCTGTAACAAACGTTTTCAGCCAAAAAAAAGTTCTCAATAAAGTTGAGGGGGGGCGGAAATGAAAGCAATACCTTTATAGCGCGGGCAGTAATCACCAGCCAAATCTTTG